GGATCCCAGCAGCCCGTGCTCCCCACAGACAGGCCAGGGATCCCAGCAGCCCGTGCTCCCCACAGACAGGCCAGGGATCCCAGCAGCCCGTGCTCCCCACAGACAGGCCAGGGCCAGCAGCCCGTGCTCCCCACAGACAGGCCAGGGATCCCAGCAGCCCGTGCTCCCCACAGACAGGCCAGGGATCCCAGCAGCCCGTGCTCCCCACAGACAGGCCAGGGATCCCAGCAGCCCGTGCTCCCCACAGACAGGCCAGGGCAGCCGCCAGCTCACCTGCCGTTCCAGAAGCGCCTGCAGCACCACGAACGTCTCATCCCTCCAGGACAGCTCCAGCATGTGCCTGCAGAGAGGCGGCCTGCTGAGGAGAGCCCGACCTCCACCCAAGCCTGGGAGGCCAGGCCGCTACTCCCCAAGGCAAGGCCTCGCCAACAGAGGATCACCAGAGCAGGTGGCAGCTCCAGGAGCCATTGCTGCAGTCTGCCCATGTGCCAGGAGTGGGCGCTGAGCTATGGCGCGCGCGGCACAAAGATCCCCGGAGAAACCATCAGGAATTGAGTGTACCCTGAAAATCAAGGGAAGGAGACTCGGGAACAGGTGCTGATGTTAGACACGAGACTTGCAGAGCTGGTGAGCCGTTCCTGCAGGAACTGCCGCTATCCACACCAGGGAGCTTTCCATCCCCTGCAATCTCCCTTGCTCCAAAAGGCCCAGGCCGCAGTGTGGAGTGTGGCTTCTTGGTGGGGGTGAGGAGAGTTACAGACCTAGGTTTGACCCCAGGCTTTTCACATGCTTTGGCTGGGTACTGGCTTGGCCAACTCGCTAATTCCTGTGTAGTTCTTCCATCTGTCAGGCGGTGGCAGCACTGAGACTGTAAACACACGAAGTGCTGCCTGAGTGGGAGCTGAGATGATCGGTGAAGCTGTGTCCTTCTCGAGGTTGTCACCGCATATTTCCTACCTGTTCCTTGGGGTTTTACTCATTCCTTCACATGTGTAACTCCTCAATTTTAATACTCAAATCCAACAGCACCCAGGTGGAAAGCACAGGCAGGTTCAGATCCCAGGGAGAGGGACACTGGCTGTGCCACGGCCTGATTTCTCTTCAGTTGTTTGTTTTGCCCTGTTAGGCAAGGGCTCTTACCACTCAGATACAGCACTCATACCAAAGCCTATCTTTAGAGACAGAGTCCGGTGCATACCTGGCTCCCACCTGGGTGCCAGGGGCAGGCCTGGCCTGGGAGAAGGTGGGGGGGGGGCAGCATGGAGGCCAGCACTCTCACCTGAGCATCAGGAGCTGCATGTCTGTCTCGAGAGACTCCTCCTTCATCAGAGAACACAGTAACTCTGTCTGAGCTGGACCTGGGACAGAGAGAACAGGGGAGGGGGCTGGGGACCAGGCAGGAAAGGGACTGGGGGAACAGGAGGTCCTGCTTGTTACAGGAGCACTGTTAGAGAAGCAGGAGATATCTTTATTATTATTAGCCAGTCCTGGGGCTAGAACTCAGAGCCTGGGTGCTGTCCCTGAGCTTCTTTTGCTCAAGGTTAGCACTCTACCACTTGAGCCACAGCTCCACTTCTGGCTTTTTCTGTGTATGTGGTACTGGGGAATTGAATCCAGGGTTTCATGCATGCTAGGCAAGCACTCTATTGCTAAGCCACATTCCCAGCCCACAAGAAATAACTTTTTTTTTTTTTTTTTGGTGGGTCATGGGTCTTGAATTCTGGGCCTGGGCGCTGTCCCTCAGCTCTTCAGCTCAAGGCGAGTGCTCTACCACTTGAGCCACAGCACCACTTCCATTTTTCTGGTGGTTAGTTGAAGATAAGAGTCTCATGGACCTTCCTATCCGAGCTGGCTTTGAACCCTGATCCTCAGATCTCAGCCTCCTGAGTAACTAGGATTACAGGTGCGAGGGAATTAATCAGCAAATACCCAGTTCCTACCAGGGCCACTGTGGGTGGAGGATGCTGGGAACAAAGAAGACGGTTACCAGGCCGGGGAATGACTCTAGAATACCTATGCCAGAGGCCTGGAGCACAGGGTCCAAGAGGGCTCTGCAGACCGGGTAGGTATACTTGGCACAGAAGGAGGTGAGGGATGTTCTGAGCAGCCAAGATGCGGAGGAAGTCAGGGAGAGGACCTGTGGCCAGTGGGGAGGAAACATTTGCAGGTTCCTTTTCTTCTCAATAATGCTGTCACGCATGAATTTCTCTTGTAGCCCACTTGCAGGGGCCGTCCATGGAAAAGACCCATGGCTCCCCCTGCAGCTCCCAAACCTTCACCAGCTCCTGGAACGGCTCTAGGGCCCAAGAGGGAAGAGCTGGATGGCATGTGGCTTTGGCCGGGGAACCCAAGGCCTGCCAGTTGAGCAAGGGCCCTCCCCTTGTCCCAGGCAAATCAGAATCCTGCAAGGCCAAAGGTGCCCTCTCCCCGCGCACCCCGTCCTGAGGGCTCAGCACTCCCGCACCTACCCGTCCAAGAAAGAGGCTCCTGGCCAGCACAGTGGCATTTCCGATGCTCAGGTGTGGGGAGAGGGCCAGCAGCTGGGTGCAGAACTGCAGGAGGCCTGCATCTGACAGCTGTGGGAGCTGCAGCTGGACACACAGCCACTCCATCTGCCCATGGGGGCGGGGAAGGATAAGGGGGGAACCACAGGAGACAGCTCTAAGGCAAGGTAGAGCCAGAGAGCCGCTCCAACGGGAGTAACCAAGATCTAAAAGAAACCCCACTCAGGGCTCACCTGCCCAGAGACAGAAAACAAAATCCCCTCCCACGAGCCCTGCAGGAGGTTGTGACAAGTGCGACCTGGGGGCCAGGCCATCGGCATCTGCTCTTACCTGGCTGGGGCTACACTCATGCAGAAACTGCAGTTCAACTGGAGAGCTGTCCTCCAACACCTCCAGCCCCTAGGGAGACAAACCCCATGTTATAGCTGAAAGAGCCCCTCACAAACCACCACTGGTTGTCAGGGAGTCGTTCTTGGAGGAATAGGAGAGGGCCCTCCCTGGGGTTAGATGTCTGCCCCAAGGCCAAGGAAAACTCTCCACCTTCTTTCTAGCCCTGCTCCCCGACCCATGGTGCCTCTTTGAGCAGGGGCTTCCCTGGCCCCGGCTGAAGGGTAGGCAGCCGCTGGGAAGGCGATGGTGAGCAGGGTAGGGCCAGTTACCTCCTCAAAGGTCTTCAACAGCTTCTGCAGCCTGGTCACCTGGTCCTGCAGAGGAGAGTCCTGTCACTACCAGCTTCCTAACCCTGCAGTGCTGCCCGAGGCCTAGCCTGCCTCCTTCTATGTCTTCTCTGCTTCCAACCCTAACAGTATAGGGACTTGCAGGCCTTGGGCTGGCAGGGCAGGCTGGCCCCCGCCTCACCCTCAGGGGCTAGGGCAGTAGGGCTGGCCCCTTTAACAACACCATGTTAGAGATCACAACTCTTCAGTCTGTAGAGTGGAAGCCACATTACCTCAACTGTGTTCTCCCTCCTCCCTCCTCCAGCTCCATGGACTTGAGAGATGTCGGGGCTAAGAAACAGCGGCTCACGTGGAACCCTCCAGTTCTGGCCAGCAGTGCCCTGTAAACCCATTTCCCCGCCACACTACCTGGACAGCTTTAGGCAGCTCCACTCTTTCAGCTGGGTTCTTGGCCTCCAGCCTCTGGCCAGCCTCCCTGGCCTCAGTTCCCCCAACAAGCTGCTGCTTCTTGGGTAGTGCACCTCCTTCCTCTGCCGGGGAGGCCAAGGCCTCGTGCTCCTCCTTCTGGTCTTTCTCTTCTTCCCTTTGCCAACTCCGGATCCTCTTGGGGGCCCTCTGGCTGCCAGGACTGGCATCTTCTGGCTCCTTCCTGCGCTTCTCCTGCTGCTGGGAGTCCCCGGTAACTGTGTCCTCTTCCTGCACTGGGTGTGGAGTCTGAGAGTCCCTGCTATCCTCCTCTTCTTTGTCCTCTTCAGGGTTTGGAGCCTGAGGCGATCTCAGCCTCCTGCCCCCCTGGCCCAGCTGCCTGCACAGGCCGCGGAGCTGCCTCTGGCAAGTTTGGGACAGTGGAGAGACTCCCTCAACAGGGTCCCTGTCACCCAGATCTCTTTGCAGCAGTATCCCTAGGGCCTGGAGCCAGGCATCTGGGGCAGAGGCGACTTCCTGCTGTGCAATACGCAGCACAGAGAGAAGCCCACTTGCAGGCAGCAAAGGCTGAACAGCCATTAACAGAGACATGAGGTTCTTCTGGCATAACGCAGGCAATCGCAGCAACAGTGGCTTCCTGGTAGCAGAGGGAGAATAAGCAATCAGGGTGTCCTGCTGAAGGTAGCTCGTTAAAGGGCAGATTGGGAGAGACTAGGGGTACAATTAGAAACTGGCAGCAATGGGCTGGGAAGGTGGCTCAGTGGTAGAGCGCTTGCCTTGCATGCCTGAGGCCCTGGGTTCGATTCCTCAGCACCACATAAGCAGAAAAAAAAAGCCG